GGAAGTGGGCTGTAGGGAGGAGACTCTTCCACCCTCTCAAAGTCTATTCTCCCTCCTCCCTCTCTCGTCTGTGTATGTATTCTCCCTCATTTTGGAATCATTATTATCACGATTTATCAGCAGCGTTCGTTTACTTGTCTTTGCGAGTGACGACTGATTATCACAACTGGGCACATTGCATATTAGTAGATGTAGAGATTTTCAGAGGCAGAGTAGGGGCCCTAGTAGATTCAGGGGCCACTCGCAGCTATATCAGTTAGAAAGCGCTACAGAAGTTGAAGCTGGGACTTAAAGTCCAGAAACTAGCGGACCCCATAGTTAGTATCCTCGCAGACAACCGTACGATGGTTGTAGTGGATTACGTAGAGGGAGTCCAGGCGTATTTCCGCCTAGAGAAAGATGGGAAAGTGGAGAAGGTTCTCCACTCCCTGACTCTCCTCGTAGAAGACAACCTCCCATTCGATATTGTCCTGGGGATGGATTGGGGAGAGGCAGTCGGGGCCACACTCCATGTGAAAGAGCACAAGTGTCGGCTCCCTAGCCCTTCAGGCGAGGCTAAGATTGCCCGCCTGTTTCATGTGTCAGGAGTAGAGAACCCCCTGACACATTGCTGCCTTAGTGCTCCTGCATTCACAAGATTAGTGAAGAAAGAGCAACTGGAGGAACAAGTCTTTGTTGCCTATGTTAGGCCTGTGACTGAGCCTAAAGTGGAAAACCCGTCGACCGTGCTATTGCCCAACTGTTGGAGGAATTTAAAGACTTAGCTGAGCCGCCCTCCGGAGTAGTGCCGCGGCCCATCCAGCATCGCATTGAGATAGAGCCTGGCAGTAAAACTCCTAAGGGCGCAGTGTACAGGATGTCCCCGCGGGAGTTGGAGGAGCTTCACAAGCAACTAGACGACCTCCTTGAGAAGGGTTGGATTAGGCCCAATTCGTCTCCATTTGGAGCCCTTGTTCTCTTTGTCCCCAAGAAAGAGGGAGAGCTACGAATGTGTATAGACTATAGGGGTCTGAATGCTATCACAGTGAAGAATGTTGAGCCACTGCTTAGGATAGATGATCTCCTAGATAGTGTGCAGGGGGCCAAATACTTTTCTAAGATAGATTTGAAGTCCGAATATCATTAGATAGAGGTGCATTCTGATGATCAGTATAAGACGGCTTTCCGGACTAGATATGGGCACTATGAGTTCATAGTGATGCCCTTTGGATTGACCAATGCGCCAACGACGTTCCAGCGCTGCATGAACGATTTGTTTAGGCCATGGTTGGATAGGTTTTTGTAGTTGTTTACTTAGATGATATCTTAGTGTTTAGCAAGACCCTCCAAGAGCATCAGGGTCATCTCAGGTAGGTTTTGGAGAAGCTAAGAGAAGCTAACTTCAAGATCAATGCAAAAAAGTGCGANCATCAGGGTCATCTCAGGTAGGTTTTGGAGAAGCTAAGAGAAGCTAACTTCAAGATCAATGCAAAAAAGTGCGAATGGGCAAAGACCCAAGTTTTGTAGCTAGGCCACGTCTTAGACGGAGACGGTGTTAAGCCAGAAGACTGCAAGATCGCAGCGATTAAAGATTGGCCCACACCGCGTTCGTTGACAGAGTTGCGGTCGTTCTTGGGCTTAGCCAACTACTATAGGAAGTTCGTGAGATACTTCTCCACCATCGCTGCGCCCCTTCGCAGATTGCTGAAGAAGGAAGCGATCTGGAAGTGGGATAAGGACTGTACGTCTGCTATGAAGAAGCTAAAACAGGCGTTGATAGAATTCCCAGTCCTTAAAGTAGCCGACCCGTCTTTACCTTTCGTTGTCACGACTGACGCGAGTCAGTACAGCATAGGTGTTGTTCTACAGCAAGACGATGGCAATGGATACAGACCCGTAGAGTTCATGTCCGCTAGGATGCCTTCAGAGAAGGTCGCGACATCTACCTATGAAAGGGAACTCTATGCTCTCAGGCAAGCATTAGAACACTGGAAGCACTACTTGCTTGGGAGGCACTTCAAAGTCCATTCTGATCACGAGACGTTGAGATGGTTAAAGACCCAGGCCAAGATGACACCTAAGCTTACTGGGTGGGCCGCAGAGATAGATCGGTATGATTTTGAGCTCAAGCCAGTAAAAGGGAAGTATAACGTAGTTGCGGATGCTCTGAGTAGGAGAGCGGACTACTTTGGAGCAATAGTTCACTAGCTGGACATAGGGAAGGACCTGCAGCAAAAGGTTAGAGAAGCGTACGCGCAGGACCCTATCTGTAGTGACCTTCTTAGGAAAGTAAAGGAGGCCCCAAAGACCGAGCCAAATTACCGCACTACTGAGGGGTTGCTCTTTGAGAAGACTAACGTATTTGACCGATTGTGCATTCCCAATAGCGAAGAGATCCGTAGCCTGATCTTAGAAGAATGCCACGACACAGAGGGTCATTTCGGTTGGCAAAAGACTCTGGCCAATCTAATGCACGCGTACACCTGGCCGGGTATGAAGAATGACTGCATAGAGTATGTTCGCAGTTGCAAAGTCTGCCAGAGGAATAAGACCACTACGCGTGCTCCGCTAGGTCTTCTCAAACGCTTGCGTATTCCTGATCAGCCCGGAGATTCAGTGTCCATCGACTTTATGGACGCAGTCGTCAAGAGTAGGCATGGCAAGAGCCAAGTCATGGTGATAGTCGATAGATTCAGTAAGTATGCTGTTTTTGTTCCTTTGCCGTCAGAGGCACGCACAAAGTTAGTCATTCGCAAGTTCTTTGATCATTGGGTCAGTGAGCACGGGGTCCCAGTGTCTATAGTTAGTGATAGAGACACCCGGTTCACAAGTCAGAATTGGCAGGAGTTGCTGAAAGTCTATGGCTCTAAGTTGCTAATGTCATCTGGCCGTCACCCAGAGACCAACGGTCAGACTGAGCAAATGAATAAGATCCTACAGCAAGTTCTGAGAATGTACATTAGACCAGATCAAGTTGACTGGGATGAGATGCTTCCCAAGGTAGCCAGTGCTTACAACAACAATGTGCATCTGTCTACGTGCCGCAACCGCACTCCCAACGAACTGCACAAGTCCTTTAGGCCGCGCAGACCGTTTGAAGGGCTTAACCGGGATCAAATTCACAGGCTACCGCCCGGTACTAGGGAGTTCGCTATACAGCACGAAAAGGAGCTAGCTACGGTTGTAAACAACCTCAGGAAGGCCCAGCACAGGATGATAGAGCAAGCTAACAAACATCGTCGCCCCTCACAGTTCCAGGTAGGCGACTTAGTTTGGGTCAGCGCTAAGGAGTTTGCTCCTGAGGAGAACATCTCGCAAAAGTTACTGCCCGCGTATAGAGGACCGTGGCCAGTCCTAGAAAGGGCGGAGAGGATGGTCCGTCATATTCAATAGAGATCCCATTACACCTCCACACCTACCCAGTTTTCCATGCGTCGAAGTTGTTGCCGTGCACAGTAAGCGATCAGTTCCCGTCTAGACGATCCATGATCCCACCAGACATGGATGGAAGATATGACATTGACGGCATTGTAGGTGAAAATGTGTTTAGAACAGGAGGTAGAGGTCGTCCTCAGAAACAGTACAAGGTCCGATTTGCATATCAGGAACCAGAAGACGACCGATGGGACACCGGAACTGAACTTCTAGAGACAGCTCCCGATATAGTCAAGGCCTATGAAAGGGATAGAAAAGGTAAAGGTCCTGCCTTGGACTAAGATTTTCTTGGAGGACCTCGAATTTAGGCCGGCGGGAGTGAAACGGTATTCACCAGTTCGCAGTAGCTGATGCAGATCCCAGGGCTCGATCCCTAGATCCCCACCTTACCTGTGTACAGTGCCTGTGTCAACACGTAGAGTTGAACCTGCGACCTGTAGGACCGCCAGTGGTAGGTAGGACATCGTAGGTTACAGGGTATAGGGGATTCGAACTGTAGACCTGTCGGGTAGGAGTCTAGACAGTCTAGCGTCGTAGCTGTAGACTTTCCGAAAGGTCAAAGTCGTAGCTGCTACTTACCTGAAAGGGCAGAGTCGTAGCTGCTACAGTACCAAAAGGCCAAGTAGATGGTTCTAGAAGTGGCCTTTCGGAGTCAGCCCCAGTTTAGGCAGAGGCAAGTGGGCACGTGGTGGAGGTCCACCACGCAGAGTCAGCAGTCCCAGTCCAGTCAGTTCGGTCCAGTCAAGCAAGTACCATCTGGGACTGTGTGCACCGTGGGCCAGGGAGACAGGGCAGACCAACGAGTCACCGAAGTATAAATCAAGAGGCCGCGCACAGCCATTCATTCATTCCTGCGGAAGCCATGCGGAAGCGCTGCCTCAGCATCTTGTGCGAGGAGGTCTGCAGTAGGCCCGAAGCTGAAGTGGGCGAGAGTGACGAAGTAGCCATAGCGATAGGGTAGAGGCAGCTAGCGCTGCCATAGCTGTAGCTTAGGGTGTTGTGTGTGTGTGATGCGTGAGTGTTCAGAGTGTCGCGTGTGGGATATCCAGGGTGATCCAGTGTGTGTGAACAGTGGGTTGTTGGGCGCTGAGTCGCCATAGCCAGTGGAAGTGAACTCTTACCTGGACGCCATATCTCTGAGTACTGTGTGGGCGCAGGTCGCCAGTTTGCTGTGCTGCTGTTCACGTGCATGAAAAGTGTGAATAAGACGAGTTTGATTGCACATAACATTTGAGGCCCCCGTCTCTGCCGCTAAAGGCAACAAACCCAAAGGAAAAAAAGAAAACGCCAGCCTGGAAAAATGGGACACTGCCGGGACATGCTGGTCAGAGTGGGAAGCGGTTGAACATTGAAGGCCCCGAGGACATTTGAGCCCCCCATCTCTGTAACGAAAGACGACACCCCCCCCAAAAAAAAAAGAAAACACCAGCCTGGAAAAAAAATGGGACACCGCTGGGACATGCTGAGCCCGGTCGGAAGTGTCTTCCAAGACCTGCTCCGAGTTGAAGTCGATATCGATTCCTGGTCTTATGGGTTTAGGGTTTGGAAAGCGGTTTGTTCCTCTTGTCATTGGAGCGCCTGATATGGCCTTTCCACAATTACACCCCCAGTACTTCCGAGCCACTTTTGCCCAGGGCTCCAAACGCCCTGCGCGCCAAAAAGGAAAAAAAACGAAGCAGCGCAACCAGCCATGTTCCTCTGCCTGTCGACCCTCGAAATTCAGGCAGCATACAAGGTGTGTCGAAGAAAAATGGCTGGGATACGTACTGGTGGTTTAAACAATGTCGTCGTTGGTTATTACCACTGTCATTATGACTTCTTCTTCTTCTTCTTCTTTTTTTTTTTTTTAAGATTTGCCATTTGGACTGTTTCTGGATTTATGTGTGTCATCCCTGCGCAGGGGCCATGCTTATCATCTCTGTATCGTTCCAATTTTGACGGATGTCCCGAAGGACTTCTTCTAAGTGCTGGTGTGGTGGAAGTAGGTGCATGTGCTAATACCTGGCGGACGGTCTTTTCGTTTGGTTTGATGGGGAATGGTTCTCTTTTCCAGTCTGCAGGGATTGGGCGTGATTGCTTTTCAGTTGGCCTGCTGGATTGTTTATCGGCTCACCCTTTTTCAGGCGGGGTCCAGTCAATCAGGGTAGTTAGCTGCCGCCAAATGTTGTTATCTGTAGTATTGTTTGCTAGTGTTTGGTGGGACAGGACACCTCTGTTGCTCTGTTTGGGAAGGGGTATTGTTCTGTTTCTTCCACCCATCCACCCATCCACCCATCCACCCATCCACCCATCCACCTCCTGTCCACCCGTCCATCCATTGATCTGTCATTGTTTGCTGATCATCCATCCACCCACCCATCAGTCCATGTGTCATAGTTTGCTGATAATCCATCCACCCACCCATCCACCCATCCACCCATCCACCCATCCACCCATCCACCCACCCACCCATCCACCCATCATCTACCCATACACCCATCCACCCGTCCACTTATCCATCCATCGATCTGTCATTGTTTGCTGATCATCCATCCACCCACCCATCCACTGATCTGTCATTATTTGCTGATAATCCACCCATTCACCCATCCGCTCATCCACCCATCGTCTACCCATCCGCCCATCCACCCATCGTCTACCCATCCACCCATCCACCGATCATTGTTTGCTGATTGCACAGTGGGGTTCCGGTAATCGTCTCTGGATACCTTCTGTGTGTGTTCTCTCTTCTCTGCCCGAGCCAGACCGCAGGTTCAAATCCTTCGTGTTGGTGAGCCTCGTGAGGGAGAATCAGTCGTTTTGAATGGCGGCGCACGGGTATACGAAATCGTTGGTCTGCAGCCTTCCAGATCTTATGAAATCAAGGTCTCCTTCCCTGCATCGGTAAGCTTCCTTATGTGTGTTTTGCAACTATGACTTCCCTCTCCCTCCCTTCAAGAAGGAAAATTCAAAATAGTGAAGCTTTCAAGTTATTTGCCCAGGTAATAGTAGCAAAGGTAATAGTAGCAAAGGTAATAGCAGCAAAGTTAAACTTGACATAATAATTATGCGGAAAAAAAAACCCACCAGTTTTCAGACAAGCCTCTAAGTTGACAAAGCTACCCTCTAAGGCTCACGAGCCTGCAACTGCGACTTTCCAAAGTGATCTTCCTGCCGCTTTTGCGACCAGCCCAAGGCCGATTTAAAATGCTCTTGCCGCATATGTACCGGTAAGAGCACTACTTTGGTTCGCGTGAACTGGTGGTTTAATGACACGTCAAATTTTGCTAATATTTCGCAATGTATTGGGAGGAGGAGGTTGATTCGGTCCTGTGAATGTGTTTCGGCAATCACCACCGGGGAAGCCCATTGATTGTCTATGGTCACACCCCGTTACCACCCGGGCAGTGTCGGGACAGGGTGGTATCCAGACCGTCTGGATGTCTGGGTCCGGATGTGAATATCTGGATACCGTCCGGATAATTTGAAAATATATCACAAACACCAACCTTTTGGAATATATATATATATGCAGTTTTCAGTAAAGCAGTTTCCCTAACTGTAATTCCCCCTACTTTAGTTTTTACTGCTACAGCTTCCTGTCCTGCAGCTCCAATGCAAAGAACATCACAATCTCTCCGACGCTCACGTCCTTTGCTCCGGAATCTTGCCCAATGCACCCCCCTCTCATCTTTGTCTGTGATTGGCAGTAGACAACTGCGTTCCTCCTCACGACCTCCATCTCCTCCACGGTCTCGCTTGCGAACAGACTCTCCAGTTTCCATTGTTCCTATTGTTCCACCTGCGTTGCTAGGTACAAGTTCAGCTTCTGTTTGCAACACCACTACTCTTGTTGTGTATCACCGATGACATCCGCGACATCGTCACTTGTCTGGGGATCAGCAACCTGTTTCTTTGTCTGCCCCAATTCTCTCTGTGCCTCCTCCACAGGTTGTTGCGGTTCCTTTGTTTCAAACGGCAATATCTGCTCCTATGCCTCCTGCATACAGTCCAGCTGCCTCCAGGCAGCCACCAGTCCCTACTCAGGATGCAGCCGCTGCCCAGATTACACTCCCGACTCCAGGTACAGTCCCTACTCAGGATGCA